TNTTNTTNTTTTTTTTCTTTCTTTTAATTTTTTATTTCTCTTTCCCATTTATTCAAGCTTCAAGCAAGCATGAAAGAAAGCAAGCATGCAAGAAAGCAAGCATGCAAGGCGAAAGTTGAGGCGTATGTATGTATGTATGTCTGCATGGATGTGTGTATTGGCGTGAGGCAGGGGTTATTTTAAGCTTTATTTATTTATTTATTTCTCTTCTTTCTTTTTTTTTTCTTTTCTGGAGAGAAAGGTTCGAAATTTATATTATATCATATTCATTCAACCGATCCAGCCCTTTTATCAACAAATAGTAATCCTTTTCTTTTTGCCTGTTTCTATGTAGGAAGTAGTTCTAAAGAGAGCAACAAATATATTAATTAATTAATAAATTGATTAATTAATTAATTAATTGATCGAGAGAGATATTACTAGATATTCTTATTCTTTCTTCGAAAATTAGTTATTAACTTGTTTATTTATTCATTCCGCTTCGTTATACGGTCGTAGGAGCCTATGTATGTATGTAATGTATCATGTATCATGTACCATGTACCATGTATCGTGTACTGTATCACATATCGCGTACCAAAGCCCCAATCAAGTATGTAATAAAGCCTCAAAAATCGCGAGAACGAACAATGCTCACACTCACACTCACGCTCATGACTCCCGATCACGAAGATCATGATGATGACCACCCCGATCCTGCAGATCCATATCCATATCCAATCCCATCCCCTTCCCTATCTTTCTTATCAGAGCCCGCTTGATGAACGCCTCGCGCGCCAGGCCCCGCGTGTGCCGCGACCACGTCTCCACGCTGATCACGCCCTTCACCAGCGCCGCCTGCAGCGCGTAGATGGCCTGCTGGATGCCGCGCTCATCTGCGACGAGGTCGTAGAGCTGCTTGCCAACGACGGTTGGCGCGACGAGGACGTCGTCGATGGGTGGGAGGCCGGTTGGTGTCGTTGTCGTTGTTGTCGTTGTCGTTGTCGTTGTCGTTGTCGTCGTAGCTGCTGCAGTAGTAGAGGGCCCTGGTTCGGGAGACGAGGATGAAGGAGGAGGATGAGAAGAAGGAGGAGCGGGAGGAGGTTGGGAGATGCGAGCCTGGGCGTCTGCGATCACGGCATCGGCGCGATGGAGCGACTGCTGCAGAATACTGATGTTGGACTGTAGCGTCGCCTGGAAATTGTTCAGCGCGGCGATTTCGCCCTGCAGCGTTGCCATGGCCGCTTGCAGGGCTTGCGCTTGCGATTGCAGCGGCTGGATCGCCGATCGCGACTGGGCGATGCTCGACTGGAGCCGCTCGGTCAGTGTCCGCGACAGCGTGCGGAGAAGCGCGTCTTTCTCCGGGTTCGGTGGGAAAGGTGGCGCGGGGCCAGAAGGCGTGATCGAAGGGAGTTCGAGTTCGAACGGCGAGGTCAGCAGATCTGGAGTCTCCTGTTTTGGTGCAGGTGTAGGTGCTGATACAGGTGCGGGTGTGGGTGCAGGCGCAGGTGTAGGTGCGGTCTGTTGAGATGGGCGATACTGCGCTTGTTGCTGCGGTGGAAATGGCTGATGAGCCACGGGTTGGAAAGACTGGGGTTGTTGGTATCTCGCAAACTGGCCCTGAGCAAATCCAGGCATCTGCCGTTGTTGCGATTCATAGCCAATATTCTGAGGATGTCCTGCTGGGTTGGCCGTCCGCTGTAAAGGAGACCCTGGAGTGGCTGTCTCCGGCGGATAGACAGCATCCTGGCGGTGGCCTGGCTTTGGTGGCACGGCCGGGACCTGAGGTTGCTGCGCCGGGGGAGACGCTGTGGCGGCTCTCAGACTGCTTGACCTCTGAGGCAAGTATGTCGATGCGGCATGATCTATGGCACCGTTGGGATTTTGTTGGTAGAAAGACTGGCGTCGGGGATCCTCTGTTTTTGGTGGCAATGGGGGGACGGGCGGTGGTGAGGTATGCGACGCGCCTGAAGGAGCAGCTACTTGTTGTGGTCTTTCTTGCTGTGGGACCTGGCCTGGCTTGGGAGGTAGCTGAGGAGGTTTTTGAGGAGTCTGTTGTTGCGGAGTCTGGCGCGTTGAGGGAGACAGCTCTGGAGGAAGAGGAGGCACAGGAGGTGGTGACTGCGTCTGCGTCTGCGTCTGCGTCTGCGAAGGCTGAGATGGTCGTTGCGTCTGAGGAGTCTTGTATTTGACAGGCGGTTCCTTTGAGAAGACCTCGCGAAGAATGGTCAAAAGATCGACGATCGACGATCTCTGCCGGTATCCAGGTCAGTGCCGCACTCGTTATTTTCAATCGGTTGACTCAACTTACATCCCACGCTTCTGCCCAATGCGCCAGATAATGATGATAGACCCTTCCCTCCAGCGTCACATGCTGGCCCACCCGCACAACCATCTCCGCCGTCGGGGTAACGTAGACAATTGGAGGCGCGAGGGGATAGATATTCGGAATCCAGACGTCTATGGGGAAATGATAGACTGTGCCCCGAAAGGAGACGGGCAATGTGCCGACAAGGTGGAGGAGGAGAGCGGAGGTGCCATTCTCAAAGGCTGGACGAACATCCCTGTCAGACTCGACTGGAGAAAGCATTTAGAGGACTGACTCACTATGAACATCTGTCCGAGGTCCAAGCGATGGGTACTGCGCAAGGGCTCTGACGACATCGTGGTAGGTCCGACTAGGATCGCGATACGTCTGGTTCGGATCGTAGTGGTTCTGGGCGAAACACACGTTAGAGCAGAACAGCCTGAATTGTGGGATTTAGCAGTTCATACCTTGGTCAGCACATTCCAGAGCCATGTCAGTGTCGTCTGCGGCACAGCCGCCATGTCGAGAGGCCTGCTGTGAAGCGTGCAGTCATGGCAGGAGGCACGTGTTGTCGCAGGTCGGTTGGAGCTCCGCTGCCTAGGCCCCCGCGATGGATGTCTTGGCGGGGAGAAATACGAACACTTCCAACGACACATCTACCAAGTATCGACAACAATATCTACCAGCTAATAATTTCCATCCATATCTCACTATTTACAATGTTCTTGAAACAAAAAAAATCATTGACAATGGACGTCCATCCTAAAAGTCGACTGGTGGAATTTGAACCTAGAATGACAGTGACATTGAACCAATGATTTCCCTAGATAACATACAATCCAAGAAGAATAAAGAAATGAAAATCAAAGAAGGCAAATTGACGACTGTTTTCTCAGGAACTTCATATCACATGTCACTACAGGTACAGTTGAGAGAGCAAGCTAGACCTCTTTCCAAGTATCCTGACGCATGGGCGCGATGCAAGCAGAGCTCTCCACGCTGAAATCGCGCTGAACAGCGATCGCGCTTCCGCTTTCCAGGTCCGGGTACAGCAGGTCAACATGATCGGCGGGCGGAGCATCGCTGGACGAAGAGGGCAATTTGGCCGCCATGGGGAAGGGACGCGCTGCCGACTCCTTTCTGGCTGAAGCCGCTGAATCCGAGAAAAGTATGTTCCACGGCTTGGGCCTGGATCCAGCACGATCGGAAGGATTTTGCCTGCTGTGGTGCGCTGCAGCCGCCCACAGGGAAGACAGGGGCAGAGAGATAACGACCAGAGTAAGGATGTTGGAATTGATTTCCAGAACGGACGTGACAAACTGCAGGATCGAAAAGATTGCTGTCGTCGAGTCAGTTTTAACTACATTCGTTCAACCGTGATGAGTACTCACCTGGCACAATCATGGTCTGGCAACCCATGATGAAGATCGCTTGGACGGGGCCAAACTGTGCGATGCCGAGTTGTTTTCGCTTCCAAATAGTATACCCGAGCTTGAGGACGAAGATCGCGCAAAAGAAGCAGATGCTGACCGTGAGGAGGACAGTGTTGGCCTTCTGCAGCCAGATAAAGGCCCCGAAACTCGCATTCGCCGCAATAGCCTTGGCGTTCTCAACAACCATGCCCAACCGGAAGCCAATGGGCACCAGCGCAACTCCCACTGATACACCGAGAATGATGCGTCTGTACTTATCACTCAGATTGGTGCAGACGACTATGGTCTGCAGGACCAGGGAGACTTCAATACAGACGACCAGGAGGAAAGTCAAGACGACGGCCAGAATCTGTGTCGCGTAGGCGCTGACTGGGACCCCCGAGTAGTCTCCGGTGAAAAAGGGGTAGGCCTTGAAGAAGTCGCTCGTGAAGTACAGCGCTTCACAGATCATCCGGATGATGTTCAAGACCAACGCCGAAGTGTTGAGCGCGAAAACGGCTGAGCGGCGTTTTTCCGCCTTGGTCAACAGCAGCAGGATGACAAAAATCACGATGGAGGCACCGATCTGGGAGCCGTAGTTGATGGAGGTCTGGACGCCGGCCTGGATCAAGTAATCGATGTCAGAGATAGACACGTTGAAGGGCGTTCCGTCGTTGTAGAAGAACGTGACGTTCTGATCGTAGGGATTGAAATCCGCCATGGTCAAGTAATTCTTTAGTGCACAGCACTCTGTAGGAATCACAGATCCAAGAGTCGAGATGCAGATGTTGGGTATCTCCAAGACGTCGAAGCCAGTTCGAAGGATGTGGGTGAGTATGAGAATGAGACTTCGAGACAAGACCGGACGAGGAGCAGAGATCGATTATATACCGTAGAAACGAAAAGTGAATCCGTACTGCTCGATAACAATATCTCTTCAGGAGAAAATCCGAAAGGAGCGTTCGGATTGTTGCCAGGATCCATAATATGACCCTGGACATGGAAAGGGGTTGCCATTGGTCGACGGGAAGCAGGAGAACAATACAAGGATGTAGAGGATGCATCTGGGCCAAATCGACAGTGAAGAAGAAGAAGAGAGAACAATCCCCTGAGCAGGATCCGGTTCCACAAAGACAATCGGTCGTCGATGGGCTGAGAAGGACGGCAGTGAAGCTGGAAGGGAAGGCTGGGAGGGGGTGCTGGTTGTTTGCAGAACAATATCAAGCAGGCGGAGGAGAACAATACTAAGGCGGCATTCCATCCAGTTTGTCCCACCAAGCCTTCAATAGTCTGCATAGTCTGCGCTCGAGGAACTGTCACTTTTACCGCGTATATTCTGGAGCAATTACTATTCAAGAATTAAAAAGAGAGAGAGAGAGAGAGAGAGAGAGAGAGAGAGAGAGA